AACGTACCCCTCCCTCATTCTCATCCAGCTGTTGGAGCCAGTTGTGGTTGTGAGAGAGATTTGCCACAACTGGAGAGTTTATCCACTTTCCTCCTCCCTTCTCTCAGACTCTCGCTCTCTCTCTCTCTCATTCTCTACCTGTCATGTCCGCCCTCCTTCTCTCCTCCCATCAGTCCCGTGGAGCCTCCATTAGCTAGTGTTACTGTTGCTTTAACTGACACTCCCAAGGCCCTGTGCCTGACAAACAGTGTTTCTCTCTCTCTCACACACACACACACACACACACACACACACACACACACACACACAACACACCACTTAGCTAAAGTTGTCTCTCCAGCACCCTGAGCTGTCAGGGTGCTGGAGAGTGTGATGGAGTAAAGTGGTCTTCTGTTCTACACGTCCGTCTCTCTCTCTCTTTCTGTCTTTTAACCCACACGTCCATTTGTCAGCCTGTCTGCACGTCTCCGTCCGTCCGCCGCTTCTGTCCGGCGACGTGTCTCTCAAGACGTACGGTTAATCTGAACTTAAGTCACTCAGCCACATGGTTTGGCCCCTGTATCATTTAACCTTCGGCGAGTTTGCGTGTTCGGGGTGTTGCTCGGCGAGTTGATGGTTTCGCCTCTTAATTACAAAAGTCAGTCAGTTCACCTTCGCCTGCAATTCAGCCAGTGAAGGGAACACGACACAGAGCTGGACTATAAATCAATGTTACAGCGAAATCAAGAAATGCAACAAGAACTCATCAGGGATTTTTAGATTGTAATATATTCATGAAGCTTAAGAGAGAGTTGACTTCTCCTCAGTTTTATTTGACTGATTCAGAGGAATTAAAATCAGCGTCAGCACCTGATGAGTCCTGACACACAAAATCTAGTGAAAAGGCTTCGGGTTTGGGTCGGGCTCATACTCGCATCCACGATTTGATATTTACATTATTTTTGGCCGTCCAGCATTAGCAAATAGCTCCTTTTAGTCATGTAGCATCTTTTTACAGCACAGTTCAAAGTTCAAGAAAGCAGAAACTAATGAATACAGAATTAAAAAAAATCTAAATAAAAAAAAAGAAAAAACATCCATGTGAATTTGAAGGCAAAAAAAGTATAAACCTTGAAGCGCAGAACGACAAAATACTGGAAACAATAGAGACTGAAATTGATGATTAGTGCCTGCAGGCAGATAATAACAATCATAATAGTCAAAAAGAACATTTGGAAAAACATGGAGGCCCTTCAATATTCTGTCTGTCTGAACTCGTAGAAAATAAAATAAGTTCAACCAGTAGATCTTTTAGTATTACCTGAGTTTATTCACCGCATTATTTTGTAGAAATTAGGTCACATTTTTAGAGGTTAAACAAAGTGATTGCTACATCACTACAGTCTTCTACTTCCTGCCCAGTTTAGCTTCACTGCTAACATTAGCTATCAGTGCCAGACCATCACGCTCTGGACCGATCCAGCAGTTTTCAGAGATGAAGGCAGAGGATGTGTACTGCGGGCACATACATGAAAAGTATTTTAATGTGTGAGGAATATTTTATTGCCCCCAGGCTGGACTCTCAGACCGACATGAAATAAATGTGTAAGCAATGATTGCTGGTTCACCGCCTGGTTTGAAGGACACTTGGCTAATAATGGTGACACACTCTCTCTGCAGCTGGGAACAGACCTCAGAACGTTCAGTTATGGATAGTCTAATCTAAACACCCCGCCTTGCCCTTGACATGAAAGCTATTTGTGCAGCAGTGTTTGCAGAGTGCACGGTTCACTGGGGGGGAAACTAGTCGGGAAAGAGTCAATTTAATTGAATTCATCTCCGTAATTTAGTTTGAAGTGCTAAAAAAAACAAAACAAAAACAAAATCACAAGCTTCATTTATGAATGCAAACCCATACATGTTCATTCTGATGATTATAGGGCAACTCAACAATAAAGATATCCAAGCACATAAAGACGTCGAAAGAAGATTTGACAACCAGGAAATGGTAAATGTCAAAGTCACATTTAAAGGCTGATATCTAATTATTATTTTTTTTCAAGAGAAAATGTAGATAAAAGCCACAAGATTGGGTTTAACAGAACTGTATGATCAGAGCTGACCTACACTGTGATGTACTGCCAGCATCCAGACAATTCATCACACTGTCCTGAAGCAGCTCTGAGAGATTAATGGTAAAAAAAAAAAAAAAAAAATCAGCCCATCTGCTTGTTTCTTGGTGCAGGTGCAATGGAGAAAAAAAAAAAAAAGAAAAGCATAAATTGATGCAAAAATGAACTCTTGATTAACTCTTAAAAAAAAAACAACAAAAAAAACCCCAACAACAATTACATGATCGTATTCATACCCTCACTCTCTGCATGTTTAAAAACTGCATCAAAGGCCTGGGTGCTGGGCGGTGGGGGTGAACATCTGTTAGTGCGAGACCACGCGGGGGGACACGGGGACACTGATCACTGAACAAAGCAGCGTGGGTACAGCGACGTGCCCTCCCGCCGCGCTGATGGTCGGAGCTAACCAGCCATGGGATCTCTGAGAGGACAGGGAGCTGCCGCCGTCGGCAATCATACCCGTCTGATTGAGATAACAGATGCTCAGACCGAAAACCGGAACAGTGTGTTGACAACAACGCAAGGGGCCGCGACGGTGGCGGCGTGTTGCTTCAGGATACTGTGAGATATTAAGTACAACCAAGGAGGTCTTACCCCGACCTTTCCAGACTCGTGGCCCACTTGAAAATCTCAAAAACGTTGGAGGCCCACATCCAACCCCGTAACTATACACAGGGATCACCGTCTGTCTCTTTCCTTTTAATTCTTCCTGTTGCTAACCAGATATCCATTTTGATACTCACAGTTTTTAGCATGGATGTAAATCTCAGAATGGGAGAGTCTATGAGTTTTTAAACATTTTATGTTTTTAAAGATCATTTTGTTTTAAAACATCTAAAAATATCATTCATATCTTTTCATCAAAATTGTAGTGTTTCGGTAATGATTTGTCGGCCGGCTTGCGATACCTTCGCGGCCCACAGGTTGAGAAGCCGTGGTCTAAAACACTACACAGAGGTGTTGTGTAATCGGCTCTCTGGTGTGTGCGTGGGTGAGTCGTCACCGTGTGAGTTTATGAGACCGGTCGCCGGCTCTGAACGTCTCGTTACGCTCAGTGGAAAAGAACGGATCAGCCGGTGCTCTGCTTCCATCTCCAAGGAGACACACAGAAGCTCATTTTGAGCAGCAAAAAGCATTTTGTTTTGTTGGAAATGTCACTTGCACGGTGTGATTATAGTGCAAAAGAAAAAAAAAAAAGCATTCAAAATAATACCAGGAAAATCACTTATCACCTCTCAGACTGCATCATGACTCTTTTGTACTTCCCCGGCGCCCCACTTCCTGTACTGAATCATTAGCATCGTGTGAAGACATTTTCAAGCCTGTTTGAGCACAACATGCTTGACGGTTGCTCCCTCTTGTACCTCAGATTGGAGCACACAAAATTACCCTTTGAATTTTCCCATTTCATCCTTGCAGTTACAGCAGAACGTCTGCACGGCCGTTTTACAATCTGCTCCATGCTCATTTTGGTCTCCGGGCTGCTTTCAGAGCGGTCAGAAAAAAACAAACCTTAATAATATTTAACAGACTGTGTTTCTGGTTGGTTTAGGTGCCGCGTGTTTGACAGCTGATTTCTCTGCTTTTAACTCACCAGGCAGAATAAAACTGATACGACAGGAGAAGCTGCTGCCTTTGTTTATCTGTTTTGACTTCTTTTGTTTCTTGAATCTCTTCCCTCGCTTTTATCTTCCTCCCTTATCTTCCTGCGTAAGTATTTTTTTCTGTCAAGCCAATCTCCATTTGTCACCTTCCTTCCCTTTTCATTCTTCCTTTTTATCTCTTTGTTTTCATTCTTTCCTTCATGGTCATCATCTTCACTCAGCCTTGGCTACCACATAACTGCATTTTCTATCTTTCTTTCATGTGAAAAAGAAGAGGAGTCATATTTATTGACCCTCTCGATGCAGAGGTGTTAATCTGGGATCCTTGACCACTCTGACCATGTGAGCGATGCCGCTGCAGCCGTGTGTGAATTTACAGCGAAGCGCCGGTGTGATTGAACTCAGGTCCTGTGGTTTTTGTCCCTGGCTCGATGGAGGTTGGTTGTTTATCTGCACAGCTCAGGGTGTGATATGAAGGGATGTCTTCCACAAACCAGACAAAAATTCAGACAGGATGTTCAGAGGCGACGCATTAACTCGTTGTGACATTTTGCATCTATAGACATTTTTGGTTTTATAAACGAGACGTTTAAATGCCTTTGTTTATAATCTGTGATTTGAAAACTCTGTGTCTCAAATTGGATGTTTGAGTACACGGTGTACTCACTGTACTCACTGTACTCACCGCTCATGTGCACTGATCGGAAATGACGATCGCAACATGTGACCGCGATTGTTGCCCGTAAAATGAAAATTTTTACTTTTCATGCGACATGAAAATTAGGCCGCCATCGCCGCCAACGACGTGTCCTCCTTTTCACGAGTTTAAAAACACGTCAGGCTGCTTCAGAAGCTGTTTAGCCGACTTCAACTGCCAGCACAGTTCGTCCTCTGGTTTCATAATTCTGACTTTATCAGCTACACTGTGTCTTCTCGTCTGTTGCATCAACTTTTAGGGTTAATTTTCATGATTCTAGTGCAACAATTTGCCGTATTTGTTCTTTTTTTAAAGCGATTACGTACCTAATATTTATAATAAAGAAACTCAATCATCAAAGAAGCCTCTGTTTTCAGCACAAGTACTTTTACTTTTTGTACTTCCTCCTCCGCTGGATCTTTCACATTCAACAGGGAATGAAGGTTGAAGGTTTGACCGTATTTCATTATTACACGATTGTGTGTAAGTGGTTTCACACCTTTCAAAGCCTGCGTCAAAAAAAAAAAGGCTGAAGTGATGAAGTGACCTTTGACCCCCCGTCACTTTGCCCCAGGCGGCCATACTCACTTGCTGCAGGTCCACTCCTCCCTGTGCCACTGAGAACAGGGGGTGAGAGCCGAAGTCTGACGCCTCGAACACCTTCAGCCGGCACAGAGAGACACAAACACAGTCAACACTCGAGTTAGAGCTCCACTCATCACACTTAAACAACCTTGTCAACTGCAGAACAACCCCAATAAACCAAGTCATTCACAGATCCCCGCCACAATTCATGAGGATAAAGCTGACACTGGTGTTTGTGCTCATAACTATAAAGCTGTTATAAACCCTAAATATCAATGACTAAAGGTTGGCTTCAACCAACATGTGCCATTAAATGACAATTCTGTCGACAGTATATTTAGTCAGGGGGTGTCAGTGTCGCTGCGCACGCTGCTGCTCAGTGTAGTGAGGCAGCCCAGTAACACAAAAACAGTAAGAAGTTTATTTAGTTTCCTAGTTATTGGCATAAGAGAAGAGGAGCTTGTACAGGTGTGGTGTGGCACTGCTGCAGCAGAGATACAGCGGCCATCTTTGGATCAGGGAACTTTGTGCCAATTTTTCTTTTACCGGGGAATATGTCAAAGCAAGGCAACTTTATTTTATATGAAGACAGAGGCAATTCAAACTGCTTAGGGCAAAGAAATGCATTAGAACACATGAGAACAATAACGAGCTGAATAATATCAAATTGGAATATAATGAGGTTTTAGGAATGAAATCAAATAAATAAATAACCCTAAGACATAAAAGGCCAGAAATACAGTTACAGTGCTGTGACAGTGCAGCGATAAGATCCCCCCTAAATTAAATAAAAGAAGTCAAAGTGAAACAAAGAGGCCGATCAATCAGTTTTAAAGATGAATTTCTAAGGCATTTTTGCCTTAGTTGGACATTTGATAGTGAAGAGTCACAAACAGGAAATGAGGGGAGGGAGGGATGACGTGACTCGACCTGATTTTAACCCTGCGTCGGCTGTAACCCGACTAGTTTTAGAATTGGACAAAAATATTTCTGCCGGATATTTCTCCCCTTTCAACACTGTCGACCAGGGCTACGTTCAGCGCCACCACCGCATCATGTTCATCGTTAGTCGAGTATAAAAGTTGCAGCTTATTAAAGGTGAAACGTCAGTTAACACAACCCAAAAGCTTCATAAAAATGCACCGAGTCAGACGTGCTGGGTTCATATTCTTCTGTCATATAAAAAAAAAAACGTATTTGGGTCCGAGGTCGTTGAGTGATTTATTAACCTGCTGCGACACTTTAAAACCTGTTCTGTTATTAACTGGGAGCTAATGTGACGATGTGAGAGCAGGAGAAATGCGCTCAGCTCTCCTGTTTCTTGTTAAAACTGTGGCAGCAGCGTTTTGAACGTGCAGCAGGTGTTAAACGGGAACACAGGAGAAGAGAGCACAGTCCATCCTGCTGGAAATGAAGGCTCCTCCACACACGAGACCTCTGACTCTTACTATTTGTTGAGATGATAAAATGCTGATTTGGTATTTGCCTTGATGTGGCAAACCTGAGTCTATTCAGTCACCAACATTTCTAACTTGAGCTTTTGACTTTGCACAGCTGCTACTGGAAGAAACTTTGCAATGTGCCATGGAGTTAACTGTGAACTTCTTTCACTGAATCGCCTCTCTAGTGCAATATTGATTTGACTTTTCAGATGTGGAGATGTGAGGATGATTTTTAAGCCCTAAGGTCGCTGAAGCTCAATTTGAACTTGTTCTCAATATTCGGGACATGTTTATTCCAGTGTCGACTGCAGTGACACCTTAGAGCCTCACGGTGTTCATCCAGAAATAACCGAATGCCCCAAGACAACAGCGACGAGAGACATCCAACCACAGGCGAGTAACTCTCCAAACAATATCTGTTACAGTCCAATGATGTGTGACCAAGTACAGACAGATCTCAGTTGTGCCACTCTCTCAGGGAAAATCATCCATAGCTCACACTGACCAAATGACAACCTGCACCACCGCGCTAAGCTTCAATGCACCGCTGGGGCTCAATGCACACAGCAAGATTTCTTCAACCAATTAAGCATTTGAGTTTCCGTCCCTGAAAACTCTTCAGAGCTCAAGGTACTTTGAGAAAACCTACAGGGAAAAATCGTTAAAGATGAAGGATGTTTTTTTTTTTTTTTTAAACTTTTGTAATATTTGAGCAGAACGGGCTAATTAGGGCTAAAGCAGGTCAGTATATCTGGATCGCTCAAATTCAACCTCAATTTAATTGTCTCACAGTACTTTACAAGATCAGGGCAAAAAAAAAGAAGAGAATAAATCAAGTTCATTTTTTTCATACCAGTTGATATAAATCAGCCTGGTGTAAATTAAGTCCCTATTTCCCATGAGCTTAAAATAAGATTCAGAATCTGCCGTGCTTGCGGCTCTGTGAGGCTGCCTTTAGGTACAGTGGTGCTTTAAGCTAAATGATAATGTAAGCATGTGTGCAGGTATAATGTTTACCGTGTTCCTCATCTTAGTACAGCTGAACCAGGCCGATGGGAATGTCATTAGTTCTGCAGGTATTTAGTCATAAACCAAAGTACTGGACAAATTAAAACGTCGACCTGATGATGGCGCTAGAGAGAATCATCAAAGTTATTAAGCTTCATCCTGATGGGATAAAAATGTCTGAACCAATTTCCCATCCAATAAAAGTCAAGACATTTTTCTCAAAATCATAAAAGTCAACCTCACGAGGGCGCTGAAGGAAAAGTCTACGGATCACCAAAGTCGTAAGGACACCATGACCTGCTGGTGGCGCTAGATGGACGGTCGGGGGATGTTGAAAGTCGTTGGGATTCATCGTCTCGACACTGTGGGTATTTGTGCAAAACTTCGTGGGAATAGTTGTTGTGATATTTCAGTCTGGACCAAAGTGTTGGACGGACCAACTGACAGGCCGACAAACCAAAAACAGCGATGATGCCAGGCTAAAGCTAAAAGCTAAAGGCTAAAGCTAAACAAATCAATCCTGTCAAATGTTCAGCCACGGAGCTGATATGTTGGGGAGGAACACGTGATGACCATTTACAGTATTCATTACCCATCTGTTTCGTGCTGGCGTTTCAGTACCTTGTTTACCGATGATAGCGCTTTAGATTTAAGGTTGTTGTGACTGTTGAGCTTACGCTTTCTGTGTCCGCAGAGGGAACGCTCGTCTCTCCCATCTTAACCAATCCGACCTTTGATATCAAACCATTTGATATCAAACCACCAGCTTGGACAGTTCTGGGAAGACTACCATATAATCTGTTTCAATCAAGGGGACTGGGTATCGAACCTCGAGACTTTCATGGACCGAACAAATTGGTTCGATACTATCGAGGATTGAAAAAGCTCTTGCTGTTCGATACCTAATTTCGACACCTAGAGAGTAAATGATTAAACCTCAGAGTCACAGTATCGGCATCAGTACTGATAGTGAACATTTTTGAACGATTTCCCAGCCCTAATTGTGATTGGGTTACTAATACGTTGCCAAGCAATGTAACTAATTGACAGTATATTGAAGTTTCTAATTAGCTTATTCAGAAAATGTTTTGCAATCAGTGTTTATATCAGGTTCTCTCGAGCCCCTGGGATCCTAAAAAAAGCATCCGGTCATTACTTTTTACGACAACATTTGGTTGTAAATTGATGTAAATAAAGGTAATCTTGTTTGTTTTTTTTTTCTCCAGTCTTGACTGCATTACCTGAGTCACACGATCTAATTGCCTAAATAAGTGCCGTACGGTAATCAATTAAGTCGCTGCCATAATCGGCTTCTGCTCTGAACGGCCCCAGCAGACGTTGTAATCAACAGAAATGGGCGTTGATGTGATTATATTGAGGAGCAGTCACAGCAGCCTCAGGTGGGATCACGGTGGAACAGGTGAGAAGAAGAAAAAGCTTCTTCTCTTCTTCCTTTTTTTATTTATTTTTTGTATTCATGATGTTTTTCGTCTTTACAGTTTATTTTGACACAAGAAATGTGTAGAATTGTAGAAGTAGGAAACTACAGTACATGCAGACAAAACAATCAGGCACCTCATACAATGAGACGGTCCTGACTGGGCGTTTCCATGGTAACTCGCGTTATCACTCAGCTTACTGCAGCTATAGCATTTCAAGTATTTATTTAAAGGATAACACTGTTGTTATTCTACATTTTTTTCTCATTGTGACCAACTCCATCATTTGTTCCTTCATCACCACGAACACCGTCCTGCTGCTGTAAACACTCACTACAGCACCGTGTGTGGATTAATCCGCTGCTGAAAATAGTCCCCAGCAAATGCACTATTTCCTCCTGTTTGAGAATTATCTGTTCAAAACTGCAGTGATCGACTGTTTTAGGAAATTACTGAGCCTCCTTTAAAGATTTAAATTATATATTTGTGTTGTGTTTAATGTATTTTCTTTTCGGTAAAAAAGAAAAGGAAAAGACAGCTACAGACGGAGGAGGGATTGTTGACTTTTACTTTTTTATTGGATTTCTGATTATAATAATAAAAAATACAACATTGCCAGACTTATCATTTAACGTTAATGAGAAATAGTGGAAATAAATGAAAAGCAAATTGTGACTGTTTTTTCTGTGTAACAATTTTTCTAACGGTTTAAACTGTCGTCTGAGCGACTCCGTTCTTTAGTTTTTAATTTTAAGGCAACAAAGTGACTCTGGATGTAATCTTCTTCAGACCCTCGTCAGACACTGCAGCTCCATGAGTCTGCAGAACTGCACTTTTATAAGCTTTTAAACCCAACTTTTAAAAAACCTTTACCTCTACAAAATACGTCTATAAGATCCTCACTGACATCTATTATATCCTGGAGGAGGGATCCCTCTTTCTGAGGTTTCTTCTTTTATTTTTCCTCCCACTAAAGTTTCTTTAAGTCAGATTCAGTTCAATGTCTTTTAATATTTCTTGCCCTTATATTGACACCATGATAAATCCATATTAATCGGTTTGTGTAAATAGCTCAATGTTGAGACGCTGGTTCTAACTGTCATATTATATCATACACACACACACACACACACACACACACATTAGAAACACACGCAACGTACTACCATTACTTCTCCAGCATCCATACGCACATCTCACTGATGAATAGTCATGATTTGTAATGAATAAACATGAAAAAGCCTCGTTTGTTTCCTGTCAGATGGGCGGTGACAGGAGCTGCCTTTCACCATGCATGACCTATCAAATAAGTGTATGTGTGTGTGTTTGTGTGTGTGTGTGTGTGTGGGCATTCTCTCTATAACATTCAAATTGCAAACTAAAGCAAATTTTCTTGACACTAAATTATGTATCGGCTCATTCATCCATCCATTCCTCCGTCGCCTCCTCGGTCCTCCCCTACATCCATCCATCCATCATTTCTTCCTCCCTCTCTAGATCCCCTCCGTCCACCCACCTATCCGACCCATTAATCCATCCACCCGTGCCTTTCCCTCCACCTTCCCTTCCTCTCCTCCTTCCACGCTTCCTTCTGTCATCCCTCCTTCCTCTCCCTTTGTCTATAATTCAGATTTTACACGCCTCCATCCATCTTTCCCTTTATTCATCCAATTAACTATCATACTCTCTTACCTTCTTCTTCTTTACCTTTCTCCTTTCATCACTGGATACCCTCCCTAGAACCTGCATGAGTCAGTAAGCTCCATCCATCATCTCGCAGCCTGCTGATTGAACTTTTTTTCTGACGGTATATTCAGTGTTTTACTCCTGTGTTGTTATGTCTTATCTGGTGGCCCTGATGATGCCGCATGATTTCCCCCCATTCGGTCATGATCGCCCTCCATCCTGCTTACCTGGTTTCCTGCCAGCAGCACGGTTCCCGGGGTCGGGCTGGGTCGGTATGGAATAGTTGCTCCCTTCGGCGGCGACTGCAGAGACGGAGAGCGACGGAGGAGGGGTTTTGGAAAAGGGAAAAGGAAACAGAAGAAAGCGAGAAAATGAGGAATCAGGGCCCACATCCATCAAGTCAGGAGGAAATCAGGCGGAAGGAGCCAAAAATCCTCAGAGTGATGCATATATTTCTTACTTTCAGGTCTAGGAGTTCAAGTGTTTTATTAACTTTTGCTGACTTCGGAAATGACTTCTCTCTCCTCTATCGCCTCATAAAGATAACATGCTCGACTGAGGGTAAAATTAATTATGAATTGTTCAGATATTTTTATTTTGAACAGGTAAAATCTGACACAGGGTCTTATCTCTTTCACATTATTGCAGAACTACCGTGTGACATATTGTTATGATATAACACAGAAATAAATCTCTTACTTTTACTTCAGTTATCAGATTGTCCTTGTGGCACTTTGGTGTTTTGATGTGCACATTTCTTATGTAATTTGTGCTAATATCATTTTGTTTTTACTTTTATGTTGTATGTCTCATCTTTTGTCTTTGGGACCATTTATGTTCTCACTTCAACATGTTGTCGCTAAAACTTTTTTTTATGTCTGCAACACACAAATACATGTCGTCCCATCATGTTTCAATGTTTCACCAACAGTAGACATGAAGAAGAGGATCACATCATCTTCATGGAGAGGTGATCACAGCCCACAAAGGGTTCGCAGCATTATCGGTATTATAAAATTATAATTTGGCATCATATGTTTGCGTAGCCTATATAACCTTGTTTAGAATTATTCGCCTTCACACATAAAACCTACACATGAAAAAGTGGGGCTAATTTCTCCATTTCAAATTTTACCTTTGTCTAATACTTACAAACTGTCAGAAAACTACAACACGTCGTCATAATTTCTATTTTATGGCTGTTGTCTGTTGTAAAAAGGCAAAGTCTGACTCTTTCCCAGGAGGTTAAAGTCAGTGTGGAAGCTTCCTAAATGACTCTCAGCTCCGCCTCTCTGGCGGAAGTGTTTTTCAGTCCTGGTTGAACTTTTTGCGCGATTGCCTCGCAGCGATTCTGGGGCTCTTGATAAGTACGTGCTTAGAACTATTATTATAAATGTGCAGAAATTTCATCCTGGAGGAGCAGAGACAGTAAAATTACACTGATACATCACTTTGCCGACATAATGAGGCAACATATTTTATCTGCTAAATCAGATTTGACCAATCAGTGATGTTTATCTCTAACACGATGGATATGATGCAGGTTGCATGCATATTTATAGAAAGATATAGAACATACAGAACATGTTTTGTTACTATGTGAAAAGTAATGACCTCCAACACCAGAACTTGTGTCAAAAGCAGCTGTAGATGTGTTTATTGTGACTCTATAGATTCATTATCCCGCAATCTAATCATGTGTTTTGCAGCTTTTCCACCCTGCCAACAGAAGGAATTCTGGGAAACAGTTTTCCCCGCGGCCGAATGGCAGAACTCTCTGTATGAATGATAAATTTTAGAAACAGGAGCAGGAATAACAAGAAGAGAAACAGAGAAACCTGATTTTATTGCTTTGGTGCAGGCTGCACTTTTTCTCTCTGGAAGTATTTGGTGAAAAAAAAAAGAAAAGGAGGGACTTGAAAACAAGGACGTCCCGATCCTGTTAGATCCAGAGGAGATCTGTTCACGAAACAGCTGATGGTTCACCATCCGTGTTTAGATTTTCTGGGCTTAAAACTGTCTCCATTGTGTTACAAAGAATTCAGCATTTCTGAAGCTGGAAATCAACAATGCTCTTTTATATTTCTTTCTCCTATTTCTTAAATCTCGTCATATCGCACCTCACACTGACATCTCATGCATCTTCTCCAAAACTAAACCAGAGTCCGATGTGACTGCTACTGTCATCGAGTGTCAGCTGATGTTTCACGTGTCAACGTTCATATTGCAGCGTAAAATTAAAGAGACGTCCAATAAGTAGCGGCATGATTTTATTTTGTTGAACTGTGTCGTAAATAAAAACTGAGCGACTCTTGTTTACAGCGTTTGTCTTGAATTGCTCATGTGGTGGAAATGAGGGAAGTCGTTGCTTTCCGCGCTGTTTGATTACACGCGAGCTCCCCTGACATCACATTCATCACACTGGGAACCCACGTGCTGTTTTGCAGGTTAAACTCGGCGCAGGGCTACGAGTTGGTGCAACTTAAATAAGAGTTCACAGCTGCAAAATCTAACGCAACAAGTTAATTCTGCTGTCGTATCCTGCAACACTCACACGTTTCTGTGTGTGCTACTGTGTGTGTTCAACCGTGTCTCTTAGAAATTACATTTACACAGCACCTAAATCAGTTTCACAGCTGCACTGTGGTAAGAGACCTGCAGAACCTGCATCTTGTTCACTGACGTGTTCTTTCAAGTGAAGGAAGCGCTGCATTCACTGTTTGTTTATTAGGTCCGCCTAAAACTATTACTGCAGTGAATCTTACCTTTCTGTTTTTAAGCTCACCCTTATTGGTGTAAGTGGGTTGGACAACTTCCATTTTATTTCTAATTTCTCATACGCTTTTGTTCCTTTTATCAGTCTCTCCTGATTGAAATGCTACCCACTTAGCAACTATTGCCTTTTTTGTAGAGTTGTGAAGACAATAAACGAAATTATAAAGTGACAAAAAAGTGGGTTAGGTCTTGAACTTCAGTCTTTGTGAGGACCAATCCTGGACCTTAAGAATAAGGACGTTTTGGTTAAGACTTGGTTTTAAGATGATTTGAACTTTAGTTTATATTCGAGGGGTAAGGGTCAGGAGCAGGGACATCACTTATAAAATCTGAACTATAACTAACTTGCATCTATAATATGTGAGTAAATATGAGCCTTCAAAGCCGTGTGAGTCATGTCTGGACACAGGAAGAAGTTGTTCATTTCAATAAATAAATAAACTCTGCTTCCTTTTAAGCCGTGCAAGTTATTCATAAAGGCAGAGTTCCTCCAGTCAGCGGGAGATGCTCCGGTTTTATCAAACAATGTACTGACAGAAAGTTCAATTCAGGAGAAGTCTACGAGCTCACAGTGTATGGATGGCGGGACCTCACAGAAAAATACATCTTTCATTCACTTATTTTGATCCAGGGGGTCAGACTGGATCCTATCCCAGCATGCACCGGGTGGAAGGCAGGGAGACAACAGTCTATCGGAGGGCAGAAGTAGATCAAAAGGCTTCTTACTTAAGATCAAACACAGAGTGTGAATGGAGGGATGGAACTTCACGTCGGCAGAGTAAACTCTTTGATTGCACCAGCACTTGAAAGTGAATGAGTTTAGCTAAGGTCAGCGGTTTTTATTATTTCTTTTCCTTCTCTCACTCCTCCCTCTCTTATCCCAGATTAAGGTGCTCGGAATACCAATGAGCAGCCGGAGACTTTGATTCCACTGTTTCCGCTTCTAATCTCCGAGACGTAGCTCATCTTAATGACTGCTGCCTCTGATTAATTATAATACAATCATGAATTATAGATTTCAGTGTTTCCATTTGGAAGATTATTGGAGAGGTGGACGGCATCTCATAAAAGCACTTCTGTGTGGTGTTAATTGAGAGCAGACAGGTAGATGCAATCACAGAGGTCAGTCAGCTTTCTTTCAGTTTTAAATTAGCATCAGCTGGAATCAGCTTTGTGGCTTGTTTGTCATGAGTGTGATTATAAAAAAATAAAATCCATCAGGCAGGAATGAAGTTTGTGTCAATTTTTCATGGCTGCAACAGGGATATAATATACAATATGACACTTCCTTGATATATAACTGGACTTGTTATCACGAAGTTAGCTTAGAAAAGGATAAAAGCGCTGGTGGCAACTCATGGCGGTGTGAACAGAGGAGACCAGAGTACAGGCGGTTTTTTAAGTTTTTACTGGCTCTGTCAGTGTCAGTCATGTGGCCGGTCCCAGTGGATAAATCCAAGGCTGAATTTCTTTCCCAGTCCGACCATGGAGCCAATACTGGTCTGGCTTTACCGAGATGGAGGGCTCCAGTTTGACTCGGCGTTGCGGTGGGTTCAGTGTTGTGGTTGCCTGCCAGAAGTTTTAACCCACATTTTTTGACACACTTTGTTGTTTTCAACTGGATGAAGGATTTTAGTCATCCGACGTCTGGATCTTAAGTTATCAGAGAAAAAAGCTGAGTAAATGTTAGACAGCTCAGCTTCCAGCTGCTCTGAGCCGTGCTGTGTCTGCTGGAAAACATCGGTGAAACACTGATTTTTTAAACTGCTTTATTCAGTGTTTCTACCGGTTTTAATCCCCTGGTCTGTTTGTTGCCGAGAGGAGGAGACATCTGCAGATAATTCAGCTCCTGGTAAAAACTTCCTGGAAGCTGACGACAATGGCGGTGAGGACAACAGCTCCCATGATCCCACACTGCTTCACAACGTCACCCAACGGCGTCTCTTGTTATTTGTTTTGATTGAGAGACCACTAGCGGCAGAAGTTACACACTGTGTGTTTAACACAGTTATCACAATAGGAGGTAAAATAACAGCAATGTGTAGCCTACAGCTTCATATTCTTTTACTCCCAACTCAACACCACCACATCATGTCCTGCAGTCTTGTGGCCTGAAAAGCATGCTAACACTTAATGTTCAAAACACTGGATAAATTTTAAAGGTTCAGACCCGGTTATATACTGAGGGACAACAAATGTCCTGCCAGGCTGACTCCCTCACAGATACGTACCTCTAAGATGACAGTGCAGATGAGTTTAACACACTGGATGATGGCATCCTGGCTCCCTGATATCGTCACCTCTCTCTCTGTGGAGTTCGGGAGGAGGTCACCTGCCACCTGCACCTGGGCTCCTGTCGTCTGCACACACAAACACATACACACATACACACACACACACACACACAAACAGACAGACAGACGGTAGTGATTCTCTCTACCTGCCTGCAAATATAAGCTGAACAGAAAAGGTCTGACGGGAGTTATGAGCTGTGGTTATGTTTATAATTCAGAAGGTCATGTGTCCGTCTAATGTCAAACATCAATCGATTGAAATCAACAGACACAATGGATGAAGTCCAGACGGCCAGTCAGAGTGAATCACAGTGAGTTCAATGTTGGGAGTTTTATGGTGTTTAGTGAGAATCCTGAATCTTCCTCTCGCCACGTCAAATAAATCAAAGTTTCACGGCATCTAAAATGTATTCACTAAATATTTGTCTCCTTCAGGCCTCAGTCGGTTCATTCATGTTTTGCTACGGAAAGAAGGATATGTACGACTGACCGTCAGATCTGTGACTGAACATTGACTCGGCTGAGCTGCCTTTGTTTTCAAGTTTTCAGGGTCTTATCTCACACTGTGTTCCTGTTCAGTCCTTGTATTTTAAATATGAAAAGCAGAACCGCTGTGAGCTGCTTTTGTCCAGGAACTTTTTTTGATTTATTGCACAAGGTTTCAGTCTGACAAGCCGTCGAAGATATTTGTCATAAAATAACTGAATATGGGAATAATTTCTCCCTGTAAAATAGTGAAAACATACAAGCCTATAATGTAATCATGATCCATTGAATTCATCCCAGTAACTGGTCCCCCTCCACCTCCACCCGCTCACCTCTCTGATTTCCTTGATCTTAGATCCGCCTTTGCCGATGAGAGAGCCGCACTGGCTGGCCGGGATCACCAACCGCAAGGTGACTGGAGGCTTGCTGGTCACTGTGCCGTTGGCCACCAAGGCTGCCAGGTCCTGAGAGAGAGAAACAGATGGATTTACGCCGACAGGTCTTTAAAGTGCTCAAGGTATTTCCCTATGTGTGGCTTCATCCCTCGGTCTGCCCGAGGAAACACAATAAACCCGGTGCCGTGTTTCACCCCCACTGTGTTGTTTGGTTCAATCGGTAACATCTGTCAGTGTGAGCGGGGGGATTAGCCCGGTGAGGTCTGTGCTGCAGGGAAACAAATCACAGTTCATACAAATAGGAATAGAAAATTCTAATGTCGGCTTTGAACCGAATGTAACTGAAGGAAAAATGAATGTGGCACGCTGGATATTGATGCTAAAATGTGTAGACGAAGAAAAGATGATGAGGAATGAATCTTTCACTCTTTCCTAACAATGTCTCAGTCATTTAATTACATCATACATTTAAATACTTTTCACAATTTGTAAATATTTTTGTAGTAATGATGCAGTGTCTACAGAAGCCCTGAGAGGCGAGTGGAATTTTTTTATTTATTGATTAATTTTTAGAATATTTAAAAAATGAAAATGTTTTCAGTTGCCTCTTGGGAGTCATTTTCCATCAGGACCAGGAAGTGTTTACTCTTTCAATACTGATTTTGGCCACGAAAGGCTGAAGTATAAAATATTTTTCTCATTTTGTTTTTTTCCTTTCTTCCCAGAAAAACAAACTCGCTTGTCTTTTAGAACTTGTTTTCACAGATGAAAAAAAAAACAACAAAACTTTGAAAAATGATCCTGACAAAAAAACCCAAAACAAAACAAAAAATAAAAAATAAAATTCCACTTGCCTTTCAGGGCTTCCATAGTGATTTACTGATTTGGTTCCACAAGGTTAAAAGTCAGAAGTTAAGACTAAATCAAACTAAATCTCAGGTGAGCGCCAGTTAAACGATACAATCACTACACACCTTGAAACTGAGGAAAGTGGATTTGTGTTGCTATGGAACAACTTGGACCCAGGTATATTTACTGAGCTATTAATAAAAACAAACACAGCACCCATAGAAAATAAATGTACTATTTTATACCAGTGGCTGCACATAGTTAGTCAACTACAAAGAGAAAAGATCTTTAAATATAAAAAGAATTATAATAAAGTGACAGGGAAAAGAGTTCAGCACAGCGACAGCTTTTATCATTTCCACACAGGATTATAATGCGTAGTCAAACAAAAAGGACAAAGTGCAGGATGAAAATAGACGCAGAGAAAAGTGTGAATGCAATAACTTCATCTTTTGATTCTCCTCCTTAATCTAACTCCTCTGCGTTCGACTGTAGCTCTGTCTGACGTTCCCGACCCTCCCTCTTCAACTCTCCCAGTGGATCCTCGACACTCATCAATCACCATCACTCCGCGTCAGAACTCAGAGTTTTCATGTTGCGTAACTGTGATTTACATGTCTGTCATCTCTGGAGCGGAAGCAGAGCATTGCATTTTTGGAATTTATGGCATAAATAAGTGCACACGCTAAAGACAACACCAATGTTCCAATGTGGTCATTGTTATCGGGACTACGTTCTTACAGTAGTGTATGTAAGTGTATGTAAATTATATGTTTATATGAGTTTCTCATGTTTGATGGTAACACCATGAAAACTTTACGCATTTAACTTTTTTATTGTAGTGCTTTTCCATGCCTGTTTAAATGTCTTTGAATAAAGTGTTATAAAGTTTTTGACCACTAGTAGCAGTGTGGAGCAAAGTTTTGATGAGTGGGTCCTCGTTTTGTTTGTATTTTCCACATGCACGAGGACACACACACACACACACACACACACACACACACACACACACACACACACACACGGTCACCAGCACCTCTACAACACTTTATTCAAAGACATTTAAACAGGAAAATAATGACATTCAAAATCAAAAAGTAACACAAACTAGAATAAAAATTAGATTTAAGGTTGTTGTTAAGATGTTGGCGACAGTTTAAATAATTTTTCAAGTTCACAGAAAGTAAAACGTCATTTTAGGAGAAATTTTCTCTTCTGTACCCTGTGGTGTTTTTTTTCTCTCCAGCAACTGTAATATTTTATGACATTATAATAATGTTATCTAATTCCTACGTTTTACAGAGAGGTAAATATTACTCTAGAAAAAGCCGAAGCAGCATCTCTGACCGACGTGTATTTGGAATAGTATTTATATATTTTTGACACTGTCACTGTGCTGTGAAACCATGCATCTCAAATTGTTGTGTTTTCATGAGATTACATTTTCATTTTCTCCCTGCAGCTTGCTTTTTGTAGTTTATTAAGCAGCTGAATTTTTCATAAACCACAAATGAAAATCCAAAATCACCAAATATGGAGAAACAATGTGCTATTTTCTCCACTTCAGCTCATTGGTAAAACTTTTATTTTTAAATTTTCTGACATCTATTATCACTCTTTGGTTATTAAGTGTTTTTTAAGTGTGAAAATTTAAAATGCGCATAAAGACAAATTGATTCTTCTCTTTTTACACAATAAATAAAAAAGACAATGAATGAGAATGTGCAGATTGTGCAGGTCAAACGACCAAATGCCCCCCCTCCCCCGTAAGGTCGGTGCTCCAGCCAGTGGGAGGTTAGTGTTGATTGAACAGACAACTTCCACACTTGTCTGTCATGCCTTTATTTCCAATGCAGATCACAGACTGTATTTGCCCTGGTCAAACGTCTCTGTCTCCCTCCCTCTGTCACCGACTCCCTCTCCGACCTTGACTCTCTCTTGGTTTCTACAACTGTCTTTTTTCTCTCTCTCTCACACACACACACACACACACACACACACACACACACACACACACACACACACACACACACACACACACACACACACACACACCCCCATTACTCTCTCTCTCTCTCATGGATACGGTTTACAGAACTTGATGAATAGGCAGCATTCATGTCAGAAAATATATGAATATACTTTGAATGGTTTGAACACTGACACTTCAAAGTGAATTTTATGATCTAAATGTCAGTAAAATACTTCACTGAACATTTTGTAATATTGTAAATGGGTCATAATGTGGTTGTATCTGTAGCTGAATGTTTACAAAATTGACCTTTTTCATCATATTATTTTATGGCGATTATAATGATTTTTATAATATTCTAACTGTAAATTTGATTTGATTTAAAATCAATTACAATATTTACATGCACATGAGTCACTGCTATATCTTCCCTGGTTTTAATCTAAAGTATGGAAGATAACCTGGTGACTACTGGAGAATCCCTGTGTGGTGCGAACATGATTCAGGTCATTGATCAGCTGTGCAGAACTGATTCTGACACTTCCAAACATTCGACACCCAGTTCGTTATTTCCGGCAGGAGCTGCAGGAATTCCAGGTAATCTCTAAATTTACAACAATATGTATTTTAATACACATATTAGTTTTCAGATTCCTTTAATGGTAATTTCTATGCATTTACATACAAAAAAAAAACAGTTTAAAATAATAAATAAAGCGCAACAGTCAATGAATAGAATAAATACTAACTGGAATAAATATGGTTGATAGAAAAGGTAATACACAATAAAATGTGTGTAGAAAAAACCCATTAGGTTTAAAAGTCTGTGTTAGTATTAGTATTAGTGGGGATCCCTGGCTCCTGCAGTCCTGAACCCCTATGTACAGTATGTATATGGATGAATGTGTGTGTGCTCGAAGCGCTGTATGTATAGAAGAAAGCGCCGTATGAATGTGTGTGTGAATGGGTGAATGTGGCTCGTCATGTAAAGCGCTTTGAGTGGTCGATTTACCGCTTAATATCTTTTTTTCTTTCCTGATACAACATGCAATGTCATGATTTACAGCTGAACAGCTCTGCATCTGCACAGCACGTAACTACTTCCCTATAGTATTTTCTATAATATCTGCAGAGTGTGAACGTGTTGCAGTCAGACCTGGGAAGGATGCAGACACACTCTTCAACCTGAGCATCAGCAAAATACCAACATTTTCAACTAACAATGGCACCTAAGATTCACTGAAATAAACACAAAACGACATTGTTCACTGCTACTTGAGGTCACATACTGTTATTACTGTAAGAACTCGCTCACAAAGCTGTGCACAGAGTTTTAACACAGCGCAGTCTTAGCTTCTCTGACAGCTGTCATTGCAGGAGCAAACATCTGCTGATAAGCAAAGCGTCTGGATTTGGTCTCGATCATGCTCAAGTGGATCGGTGCGGGACGTCCTTACTTTCATTCTAATGTCAAAGTGTTGTTTATCATTTGCGTTAAACCTACAGACCGTCGACACGAGGAAACGACCTCTGCTCATATAATCTGTCTCCCGGTGTGGATCCTGTCATAATAACCTGGTTACTCATCCATGATTCTTACGCAGCCCATCTGTAGTCACACATGCATCTTCCACCTTTGCAAAGATCCAAAGTGAATGAAAGGATGGAGAATAAAAGGTGAATTAAGTGAAGTCCTGTGGTGCATGTTTTAATCAGTTTTCTGGCTGAAATCCTGCTGCTCCTTCCGTCTGGCCTGCAGAGTCTGCAGCTGACTGACTACACACACACACGCACGCACGCACGCACGCACACACACACACACACACACACACACTTGCCTTCACCTCTCTCTCACCTCAGCCCCTCCTCTCACCCCCATAGTCACCCCTCAGCCTCATCCCTCCATCTCCTAAAACTGCTGTTCTTTACTATCCATTAGTCAGAAAAGACTTCTCTCATTCCCTCACTTAAAAAAAAAAAAGAAGAAAAAATTGCATCCCCTCTTCTCCCCTTCAGCTCTTCATTTCTTCTTTAGTTCATTCCCTAACTCTCTCTTCCTCTCTGTCTCCCCCCTTTTTCTCATTATGTACTATCTCCCCCTTTGGCTGCTTCAATCACCCTTTTCCTGTCTGGTATCGCTCTCTCTTTCACCCCATTCTTTGCTAAATCTCCCTCTCTCCATCCTCCTCTCTTTCTCTTGCTCTCTTTAATTAACTCAGGTAATAAATGGCGGCCTAAATCACCTGGT